GGCTGTCTGCAGTAGGAAATCAGGAAGGGGAATGAGGGAGAACCTTCAATGCCCCTTGGTCACACAGGTTTGTAACTGGGCACATAGTGTGATCATCCATTTCAGGCAGAGACAACTTAGAATTTGCAAATTCTATCACACTTTGTATGTACTCTCCTTTGCCAGCAGACAGTAAGCATACAAAACTATTCAGCCTAAAGGCATCACTGGTGGGCATTCCAGAAACAAGCCTATTAATTTATTTGAGAGGCCTGGAATAAAACTGAGAAAATACTAAGAGAAACAAAAAGGAAGAGTAGGGAGGTCAAAGACTGAACAAAGAGAAAAGAATAAAGAACTAATGTCATGGACATAAACAAAAACTCCTGCAGGGAACATGATTTTCAGCTTGGTTTTATATTTGAAAATTGCCATAAGGCTTTAAATTTGTTCCACTGGGCAAGCAGCTTGTACTGCAGTAAATCCTGTCTTCTCATGTCCTGTGCTTTTCACTGGAACTATTTTTTGACATTTCCACTCCACAGTTAGGATGGCGGGAGTTTCAATCACGTCAACGTGACAAAGATCCAGATCTTCTGCAAAATCGCAATCGCCAACAGGTTGTTGGCTCTGCTCCTACTTTTTTGTGACACAGTTCTATATGTTTCGACAGGTTTTCCAATCCAAGCTTCTTCAGAAATGTTGAGAAAACTTCAATTACAAAGCTTTCTTATAGCACTAAAGCTGTGTGAGATTGGCGGGAGGAGAAAGCTCCCCTTTTACAGTACTAGCTGCCTTAAATTTAAATGCAAATTTTAGTGAATGGGTAAAAGGATGAATGTTGGTGAATGAGTGAGTAGATGAATGCATGAATGGGCATGTGGTAGGATGGGTAGATGGATGAGGTAAGCAGGTAAATTGGAAAGTGGAGGGGGTGACAGATAGGTGAATAGATAAGTGAGTCAGGGCTAATCTAGTACAGTTGGGTTAAGATTGCACCAATAGTTAGTTAGGTTGTGCAAGCTAATCAGGCTGCGTCAGGATTAGGCAGGTAGGGTCAGTGTGAGAGTGATGGGGTTCAGGTGTATAGTTAGCTAGGAGTTAGACCAGAATTTTCTTGTCCTAGGAAACTGTCCAAGTGAGTATCTGAAGACTCTGTCTCTCAAGAATTGCAGGTTTTCTTGGGAAATATTTGATGCCCTAGCCAAAAGTTCATATTTTCCAAGCAATTCCCACAGAGTCAGCATGGCAGTGGGGTCCAATGAACACCTTGGGTCATACATCCAGTCACTCAAGGATCCAAAGATCAAATGATCTAGGCCAATGAGTACACATACTTTTATAACTGTCTGATTGACATCCTTTGGTTATCACAAGCAATCTTAGTCTTCTACAGTAACACTTGACATTTTCATTTCTTGAAGTATCTGCAACAACTACCTGTTGCTCAAACCTTTACTGGACACAGGGTGTGATCTGTTTCACTTAGTTACATGTATATTCGTTGCATTTCTGATGATGATTCTGACAATTTGAGGACATTTACACATGCATATTTCTCAAGATCTGGCCACCGGCAGCTCCATGTTCTCACGTATATGGTGTTGGGCATCTTTTTCAAGGTGGATTCCTTCTTCTTTCACTGGTGCACTAATTTTACACTAACGCCAAAATTCCCTCCCTACAGCAGTTATTCAACTAGTAAGCAAACATTATTACTTTCAGCTTGGAATCAGCTTCATACTTCATTTCTTTTGCTGCAAGATCCATTTCTAGTCGTCACTTGTCATAATTGGTCTGGTCTAGGTAGTGCAATTCTGAAATTTCAGAATTTCTGCACATTTCTTGTCAACAAACCTATATGACCTGCTTGATCACATGCGCTGACTTATTGGGTGAGTAAAATATGCATCTGAGGTGAAAAATTGAGACCGACTTCTGATGTGAGTATAGCATTTCCCAGCAGAAAAAGGAGGTTGACTTATACCTATATATGAAGGTTGGCATTGAAAAATTGAGATCCTCTTAAATGCCAGTTTGATTTATGACCTATGTTATCTATAAAATAATGTGCTGTGATGTCAATCACTAATAATTATGTTCCAGATACATATATAATTATGTAAGATGCAAATTCTGCGGTGTCTCTCCATTCTTATGTCTGTTTATCTTGCAGGGAATAGACTGAATTCCTTAACAGTTACTCTTTCAGTTTCATTGATTCTGTTCCTCTCTCTGCAGATGCTGCCTGACCTGCATTTTCTGATTTTTAACTGTTTGACATTTCAAGCAGGTTGCTCTCAACCTGACTGTTTGCTTCTGTGAAACCAGCCAAGCCAGCTGGCAATTGTTAAAGTAAATGATAACTGTTTACTTTCGTGAAGATTTCAACTTAATTCCTACATCAGATTTTGGAGAGGGGATGGGGGATGGTTGAGACATGTCATGTGGGAAGTGCAGCACGAATGGGAGAAACAGGGACACTGGACCTTTGGTTTCCAAACTCTCCACCATTGAGGGTTTTTCTCAATTCATGCTTGGGACTGTCAAAGACTAAACAATGTGAGATTGATTGCTATGAAGTGTTAGTCAAGACTCTCACTTGAATTCCAGTCCCACTCCAGAGCACAAAGCCCAGATTGACACCCAATGCACGTCTGCCTGAGGTGCTGCACTGGTAGAAATATTACCTTTTTTCGGGAGGATGAGGAGTCTTATGATTTGTCAGGTGGATGTAAATGATCCCATAACACTATGCAAAGAGGAGCAGAAAAAGTCCCCCCAAGATCCTGTCCAATAAATATCTTTCAACCAAAATCAAGAAATAAATTCTTGATCCTGAGAGCTGTGTACAGACCAATCGGTTGCAACGTTTCAACAATGACTATACTCTAAATTACTTGATTGACTGCAAGTACTTGAGGATGTTCTGAGGTTGTGAAAGCTGCTATATAGAAGTTTTTGAAAAGTCAAAAAAAATCCATTGCACCATGTGACAACCAGGATAGTAACACACATACTTGATAGACCTTGGATTATTTTTGTCTTTTAATTCCTGTTACTGATGTAGGCTAAGAATCTCCTCTGTCAGAATTCCACCTGGATGAATTTCCACCCACCCCTTGGAATCCAACATCACCAAACCCACTTCCTTGGATGCCTTAAGTGATAGGCTCCTGTTGAATCACTGCCATAAGGCATGAGCCTGCCAGCAAGATTTGGAAGGGAAGAATTGAGCACCAAAAGAGAACCTTAAAAAACAAGATCTCCAAGAGATTACAATCGCAGTTCTGTTTAAAATGGCAGATAAAGATACAATCCTATGCCAGATGACAGATGATCTTCCTCCCTTTTCTCCCCCTCATTTCTGACTCGACTTCCCAGACGTCTTGCCCACTCAAATGTGGTGAGCTCCCAATTGGAGCTCAAACGCCGGCAAGTTGTTTTGAATTATACTGATCAGATCCCAAAATGATTTCCAGCTACCTGACCTCCAGACAGACATTACGAATTGTGCAACTATTTTGGATGGAAGTTAAAATCCCTCCTATCATTAAAAACTAATTACAGATTATTTAATTATTATATTACCATTTATAGGAACTGCTATAGGTAATTTGTTACCATGTTTCTGACATTATAACACTTCAATAAAGTACTTAATTGACTCTAAAGCACTTTGAGATGACTGGAGTTTCTGAAATGTGCAATATAAATGCAATTTTGCATTTTCCTTTCAAACAACTGCAATCCTTCTCAGCTTTTCAACCTTCCCTATTACTGTGCATTATGTACTAGGCTGTGTTTTAGGCTCTTTAGTCCGAGGAATGAACCGCACACTAATGAAATTTCAGTAACATTCTAATGGGAAGTTGCAGGAGCACATAAGTCACACAGAAACAAAGATCAAACAACCTGATTAGGAGGTTTGAAATAAGACCTTCAGAGCATAAATCCAGAGAGTGGTAATGTAAACAGGCAAAATTAAATTGGGAACAATTTGTGCTCCCACAAATAGCGCTGTATAAATGACTAGATAGTCTGATTTCAGGTATTGGTTAAAGGATTGACTAAATCTCTTATTCTTTGTTGAGTACTGCAGTGAGAACTTTTATATCCATCTAAACAGCTAAGAAGACCACAGTTTAACAAATGATGGCACCTCCACCAATGCAGCACTTTCTGAGCACTGCACGGAATTGTTAACGTAGATTTTGTGCTCAAATCTCTAGAGCATAACTTGAACTCATAACTATCTGCTCAGAGGCAAGGCAACTGAGCCACAGCTGCCAGCTAATTGGCTTCAGTATGGATAGTCTGCATCTTGATGTAGTTAACTACTCTTTGGAAATATATGGCACCATTTCTATGAACAGACACCTAGAGATACAGTACAAAAATTGAGGTAATGGTTTCTCCCACTAACTGCCCAAGTTAGACCTTATAGGCAATGTATTTGGAAGAGCAGCTCATTTTTTATTTGGTATGTGTCAGAGGTGAGTGCTTTATTTCATCTGTTGCAATGCTGGTGTTTCATGCTCCATGATTTCCTAACTGTAATTATACCCACACAAAGTATTTTTATGAACTATTACCGGCAGTCTCCAGATCACAAATGGGTTCCATTTAATTTCATCCGCAAGTTGAAATGCAATACAGGACAACAGGAAATAGCCATTCATTAGCACAAGAAATGTTCATGTCAAACCTTTAAAATTAATATTATACATCCTTGTATGGGATAGTGGTCGTAAGTACAAGTATTTACAAGTCAGATGTTCATAAGTCAGTGACCACCTATAACTGATCCAATAACACAGAAGTTAACCCCCTAGAGTGTTGCCATAGAGACACAGTGCTACCCATGTGCAGACATGACAATTTTTACGTTCCTACCTGCCTTGCTATAGGCCATCATTATGCCAGTAGAATAATACCGAAGATACTGTTAATGAAACCCAAGATATAACACTGACCAGCCTTGAATAATGCTTTTGTTTATATCCCAAAAGGGAACTTACGGTACAGACATCCAGCTTCATTGTTGAGTTGCATCCACCCAGGACAACACTTGAAGACCACTTGAAAGTCCATGCTGTAAACCTGTCTGTATGCTGTATAGTATGCTGTCCTGTAAGAAAATCAGATTCACTTAGTAATTCTCAGATCCCTTATCAACTTTCCTGTCAACTAACCATGCTGCTACAGAAAATGTTTACATTGGAAACATGTGTATTTGTATCGCACCTTATTACACCTCTCAATTATCTCAAAAAGCTTTACACTTTTTTCACACAGTAAGTTATGAGCAGGACGACACTGACTGAGGAACTTGAAGAACTTGAAGACAGATAAATCCCCTGGGATTGATGGGATTTATCCAAGGATTCTATGGGAAGCGAGGGAAGAGATCGCAGGGCCTTTGGTGATGATCTTTTCGTCCTCACTGTCCAAGGGTATAGTGCCAGAAGATTGGAGAGTGGCAAACGTCATTCCCTTGTTCAAAAAAGGGAATATGGATAACCCCGGAAATTACAGGCCAGTTGGTCTTAAGTCAGTGGTGGGCAAATTATTGGAAAGAGCTCCAAGAGATAGGATTTATGATTACTTGGATAGGCACAGTTTGATTCGTGATAGTCAGCATGGATTTGTGAGGGGTAGACCATGCCTCACAAACCTTATTGAATTCTTTGAAGAAGTGACCAAACACATGGATGAAGGTAGAGCAGTGGATGTGGTATACATGGATTTAAGTAAGGTGTTTGATAAGGTTCCCCATGGTAGGCTCATGCAGAAAGTAAGGAGGCATGGGATAGGGGGAAATGTGGCAGATTGGATTCAGAATTGGCTGACCTTTAGAAGACAAAGGGTGGTAGTGGACAGAAAATATTCAACATGGTGCTCAGTTACGAGTGGTGTACCACAAGGATCTGTTCTGGGTTCTCTTCTATTTGTGATTTTTGTAAATGATTTGGATGTAGGAGTGGAAGGGTGGATTAGTAAGTTCAGGACGATACAAAGGTGGGTCGAGTTGTGGATAATGCGAAGGGATGTTCCAGGTTACAAAGAGACATTGATAGAATGCAGAGCTGGGCTGAGAAGTGGCAGATGGAGTTTAACCCTGAAAAGTGTGAGATGATTCATTTTGGAAGGACAAACTTGAAAGCAGAATACAGGGTTAACAGAAAGATTCTTGGCAGTGTGGAGGAGCAGAAGGATCTTGGGGTTCATGTTCACAGTTCTCTGAGAGCTGCCACCCAGGTGGATAGAGTTGTTAAGAAGGCGTATGGTGTGTTAGCCTTCATTAATAGAGGCATTGAGTTCAAGAGCCGTGAAGTTATGCTCCAGCTATACAAAAAGCCTGGTTCGGTCACACCTGGAGTATTGTGTCCAGTTCTGGTCGCCTCATTACAAGAAAGATGTGGAAGCATTGGAAAAGGTGCGGAGGAGATTTACCAGGATGTTGCCTGGAATGGAGGGAAGGCCTTATGAGGAAAGGTTGAGAGAGCTAGGGCTATACGCTTTAGAATGACGAAGGATGAGAGGTGACTTGATAGAGGTGTACAAAATGATCAGAGGTATAGATAGAGTGGACAGCCAGAGACTTTTTCCTAGTGTGGAGATAGCTATTATGAGGGAGCATAGTTTTAAAGTGAGTGGAGGTAGATATAGGGGAGACGTCAGTAGTAGGTTCTTTACTCAGAGAGTGGTCGGGGCATGGAATGCATTGCCGGAGAGGGTAGTGGAGTTGGCCTCATTAGGGGCATTTAAGCGGCTATTAGATAGACATATGGATGATAGAAGATGGTAGGGGTGGAGGTGAGGGAGACCTTAGGTTTAGGGTAAAAATTCGGCACAACATCATGGGCCGAAGGGTCTGTACTGTGCTGTACTGTTCTATGTTCTAAAGCAGTAGTAGAAGTAGTAATTTTTAAAAGGGAATTAGACAAAAAGGAAATGTTTATAGGGCAGTATGGACAGAGCACAAAGTCAGACTAATTGGCAGATCTTACAAAGAGCTGGCATAGGAATAAAGAGCTGAATGCCCTCCTTTTGTGGCATATAATTCTAAATTTTCTTTATTCATTCATGGGATCTGGGCTAGTTAGGCCAGAATTAATGCCCATCCCTAATTGCCCAGAGGGCATTTGAGAGTCAACCACATTACTGTGGCTCTGGAGTCACACGTAGGTCAGACTAGGTAAGGATAGCAGTTTCCTTTCCTAAAGCACATTAATGAACCAGACCGGTTTTTTAAACAATAGACAACAGTTTTGTGGTCATCACTGGACTCTTAATTCCAGGTTTGTACTGAATTCATGGCAGGGTTTCGCCCACGTTACTCCTGTTTATTCTTACCTGTCCTCTAAAGTAGTCTAGCAAATAACTTGTGTATATCAAACCACGACACTGCACGTTCACAAATTGTCACTCTTAATGGGCAACTAGGGCTGGGCATTAAATGCCACTGAGGTCCATGTTTATCAGATCATGAACAAAACACAAAACAAAACACACCAGTTATTTTGTACACATTTGGATCCCACAGCACCTATGATAATGACTGCATATTTTTGGTGGCATTTGCTGGGGTGGGAATGTTGGCCAGGAGAACACTCTGGTCTTCTTTGACTATTGCCATTAAATCTGTAACATCTACCTGAACTACAGAAACATACCAGTCGCATTCCCCACTGCCTCAGAGTTGATACTTAGCTTTAGTTTCTGCACTCCTAAAGTGGGTTTGAAACTACAACCTTTGCCTGCAGAGATAAGGGTGCTACCACCTGAGCAAGTTACTCTTGTGGAAAGCTAGACTCTGTCCTTACCCAGTATCCACGCAGACTATTTTACAGAGTAATCTGTACATTGCAGTTAGCGGAAATCAAAGCCAATTTTCTCCTCCTTAAAACAAAGCAAATGAAAGGTCATCTAGTTTATTTGCACCCCCCCCGCCAACCAACCGAATTCTCTGACTAGGCCTGTGTATGTTCAGTTTTTCACCCGTTCAGTAAAGATTTTTTTCTGGTTTGTAGTGACGATGTATTCAAGCAAGTAAACAGGGATTGTTTGTGCACAATTGCACACGCATAGCAACAGAAACAGATGTATGCAGTATTACTCAATGAACTGCCACTAGTGGATACAGGGCTGATTTTTAACTCTTGCTATGCTGAATAAATAAGAACAGAACGGACAATTAACTGAAAAGAAATCTAAACATATACAAATCCTAATCTTCCACTGCAAAAAAGTCTTGGAACTAATAGTTATAACAGTTATTGTTGACTGTAGTGGAGAATGATACCTTTCCAGAAACATAGAATGGCTATAGCACAGAAGGAATCATTCAACTTTTGTCTGTGCTAGCTGTTTGCAGGAGCAACTAGGCAGAGAAGATGATGGGTGTGCAGATGGTCACGCGGAGATTAAATATCTGCAAAGGTTAGTTAAACCAAATGGCTGTTTCAAACTCCAGATGCTATTCCTCTACTCCAAGTTGGGGCATAAGGGAGAACCACCGTTAAGTGCAGCAAGTGACTCACTGAAATATGGCATCATTTAATAAATCTTTCAATTTCTATTTTGGATGCATATTGGATTACTGTTCACTGAATTGCTGAAGGCAATGCAAACATTGGTTCCTCTCCTTAACAGCAAAGTTGATTGGAGAAATGGGCACCTCAGATGTAAACAATGACTGCAGGATCAGTATCAAAGGGTAGTTCCCAGCTTACACCACCCCACGTACCTCCACAGTCACCATTACAAATACTAGCTTATTAATTGAAATTTATTTAATTAATTGAATTTACCCCTACATTTGAATGCATGTAACTCAATCATTTTCCACGGCTTCAGTATTTCTTGATCAGTAAGACAAAAGTTTGGTCGCGTAGTGGTTAAGTAAATGAACAGTGAGTGAGCAGCTTTAATAAGAGTAAATAAACCTCAGCCATGTATAACATTTTCACCCACCAGCATCCCTCCACTACAAACAGTAAATTAGCCAATGTTTCTGCTGTTGATGCATCAATAATAGAGAGTCACTTTTATGTACTGCACAGCTGTTTCATTCAAGAGTGCAGCCCATCAATGTTTTGTGGATGGCTGTGTACACCTGGTAATTTAAAGCAGCTAATGTGTGTGTAGCCTGCATGAGAACTCTAGAGTTGCTGTCTGGCTGGGCAGCTTAGAGAGAACATTTCCAGCAAGTGGTCATTTACAATGTGTGTGATGTTGACAGAATGAGTCTTGATTACGGTGCTCTTCACAGCTGAACATCTTGCTAACACCTGACTTTTACAAGTCCCATCCAAGCAAAGCACACTTAGGAGAGATACAATGAGGAGGGGAAATTATAAATATTTTTTAATCAACTTGTTCAGAGATGTTAGTACATACCTCTGTAATAGGTGGGACTTGAACCCAGGCCTCATGGCTCAGAGGTAGGGACACTACCATTTTGCCACAACAGCCCCTGAGGAGAGTTAAAGTCTAAGTGGGAGAAGGATCTGTAACCTAGCGTATGTCAGTATCTTCAGAAAATTGAGAAGAAACTTCTTTAAAAATCCTCCATTAACAAGCATTTACAACCAGTGACTCAGTCCAAGAGCATTAGCTGAAAATGGAATTGGATTCTTTAATTTCTGTTCGTTGAACTAATTGTATTTGGCTGTTGATTTGAATGATAACACTGTAGTCACATACCTCCTCTCTTGTCCCACGCACCACTTCTGTCCTCCACACCCTTGTTTCCAGACTTTAACCATCCGAGTGAAGGCCTGAACAAATGGCTGCCTGTGGCCAATCATCATCACTTCCCTCTCTGCACAAACATTGGTCCTAAACAAGGGGGAATTAAACAATATTTAATTGCATATGAGAAACTGTATTCAGACAAACATAGAACAATGATGGGCGGTAATACACCAGGTGTTCCAACAAACCTGCGTCGGCTTACGATGGCTAATGTGCTGTGAATAGCCATTTCTTAACCGTCACAGAGAACAACATAGTACCAATAATGGGAATGAGGAAAACTGAAAAATTCCTCTGCGGTGCCTTCAGGCAATTGAAACTAAGGATGAAGATTGACCAACCATCTGTCATTTGTAAAGACAGCTACCTTAAACAGAATACAAGGGGCTCTCTGTTTCAGTGAGAGTGTCCCCATCTCTGAGCGAGGAGGTGCAGGTTCAATTTTCATCTGCCCCAGACATGTGTGATAACATTTCTAAACAGATTAGTTTAGAAAAAGAAAATCAATTGGAGATGTAGTAGACAGCGAAGGTTACCTCAGAGTACAACAAGACCTTGAACAAAAGAGCCAATGGGCTGAGGAGTGGTAGATGGAGTTTAATTTAAATAAATGTGAGGTGCTGCATTTTGGAAAGGCAAATCAGGGCAGGACTTATACACTTAATGGTAAGGTCCTGGGGAGTTTTGCTGAACAAAGAGACCTTGGAGTGCAGATTCATAATTCCTTGAAGGTGGAGTCCCAGGTCAATAGGATTGTGAAGGTGGCATTTGGTATGCTTGCCTTTATTGGTCAGTGCATTGAGTATAGGAGTCGGTAAGTCATGTTGCGGTTGTATAGGAGATTGGTTAGGTCACTTTTGGAATACTGCATGCAATTCTGGTCTCCCTGCTTTAGGAAGGATGTTGTGAAATTTGAAAGAGTTCAGAAAAGATTTACAAGATGTTGCCAGGAGTTAGAGGATATGAGCTATAGGGAGAGACTGAATAGGCTGGGGCTATTTTCCCTGGAGCATCAGAGGCTAAGGGGTGATCTTGTAGAAGTTTATGAAATTATAAGGGGCACGGATAGGGTGAATAAAAAAGGTCTTTTCCCCAGGATGGGGGAGTCCAAAACTAGAGGTTTAAGGTGGGATGGGAAAGATTTAAAAGGGGCAAATTTTTCACGCAGAGGGTGGTGTGTGTGTGGAAAAAGCTGCCAGAGGAAGCATTGGAAGCAGGTACAATTACAACACTTAAAAGGCATCTGAATGGGTACATGAATAGGAACGGTTTAGGGTGATATGGGCCAAATGCTGGCAAATGGGACTAAATTAATTTAGGATACCTGGTTGGCACAGGTGAGTTGGACTGAAAGGTCCATTTCCATGCTGTACAGTACAGCTCTAATACAATGCAATCCCTACCCTAACAGCCAATCCAGCCAAATGCAATAGAGACCTGGCAACCAGGCAGCAGCAAGCAATACATTACAGAGTCTTACTACCCTCAGGTTTTTTTAGTTCCTTCCCACTGCTCCACCCAGCAATCCACAATCCTTCTCCAAGCGTCTTGGTTGCAGACAGCAGGATCCAAATATTTCCTTCTCAAACAATAAAGTACATTTTACTCCATGGGATGATTCAGGAAGTAGATTCAAAAAGTGTAATTTTGCTATTGCAGAATGACTAAGCTATTAGGTTTCTGCATGCAAAAAAGCCACATTTCTAGGATTTTCCTACATGGAGAATAACAACAATCCCAATTTTTCCACATTAACAATAGCACAATATTTACCAGAGTCATCCTTGCTGTTGCAAGTGATAAATTTAGTTAACTCCTCAAATGCATTCTTGAACCATCTTTCATCAATGACAAGGAGAAAGGCCTTTCCTAAATCCAAAAATGTTATCCGACACATTCTTCCTCAACTTTCAATTATCACGTCAAAATTAACACATTTCATACTGTCCCTTTCTTGAACTGAATCAGTCAAAATTTCTGTCCTGTCTTCTTCTGAACTTCCACAGTCCTTAAAAACACATTGTATCACCTAATCACTACTATTCAAGATAACCTGAACAACTCTCCTACTCTTTTCAAGCTTGATGGCATCCTAACCTACGGCTCCTATATCCTCAATAGGAAGAAAAGGGCAATATAGACTAAAATTTCAGGAGTTACCGAATGCATCAATTTAGACATCCCATCTGGTTTTTGAAAGTGGTTGCCTAATTTTACTAGTCAGAGTATGTTTTTTCTTTTTACGTTTGTAGTTTTGAATGAGCACATTTACAGACTTGAATTCAAACAGGGCAGTGCTGTGGCTCAGTGGTTAGCACTGCTGCCTCACGGCACCAGGGACCCAGGTTCAATTCCACCCTCAGGTGACTGTCTGTGTGGGTTTCCTCTGAGTGCTCCGGTTTCCTCTGAGTGCTCCAGTTTCCTCCCACACTCCAAAGATGTGCAATTTAGGTGAAATGACCATGGTAAATTGCCTATATCATGTACAGGCTTGGTGGATTAGCGAGGGGAAATACAGGGTTAAGGTAATCTGGGTGGCTGTTTGGAGGGTTGGTGTGGACTTCATGGGCTGAATGGCATGTTTCCACACTATAAAGGATTCTATGAATGGCTCACACAGCTAAAACAACCAGGACCTCAAAACAAAGTTCAGGTCAGCCGGAAGTAAAGGGCTACCAGATAACTAAATGCTATCCCTTAGCAGTTTAATACTGATGTCAAACCATAGACATAATAGTATTCCATTGTACAATTTTTGATAAAAACAATTAATTAAGTCTGGTCCTTTGTCCATCAATTATCAAGCTGGTCACTGCCTTGATTGAAGGTGATGTTTCTTCAGCTTATACCTTGTATTTACCATGGTTGAAACCAGTTTGATCATAGGATGTAGAAAATATTTAGGAACAACTTTGGAAATTCAAAGTATGGATTACTATTAAAACACAGGGTAGTCAAATACATTTGCAAATAAATGGGCTTTTTAAACAGTCTCATTTCTTCGGAGTTGTGGGAATAGACAGGAATTCAGCCTAACCGTCCTCCCCTTGAGGTGGATTCTGACTTTGTGTGATAAGAGAAAATAGGCAATGAGTCAGTTTTACACCACTCAATTTTTACCTGTACTAACTTCATTAAGGTTCCATTCAAAAAAGGCTGCTGACTAGCTATCCTCCACTTCACACTACAGCATAAAGTCAAGATCTAGCCTCTTGTGTTATCCAGCAATACATTCTGGGAGATTCATATTTGAATTCGAGATGACTAACAGGTTGCAATGTCTCTTCACAGTCAAACAGTCTGTTGTCATTCACACAGATGACCAGTGGACACTTGGCTGAGGATTTAAAAGCGTAAGCATTGGACATGGTAGCAGCACAGCTCATTCCCACAAATAAGGATGAAAAAAAATTAGACAAACGAATTAAAAACCATCACACTATCAAGCTTATCTCACTCGGGAACTATGTGATCTCATGCCAGCCAGTTCTACACTAGATTCATCTCAAGACGCCAGTCTATATAATTAGAGTTCAAGTTGGAATTCCTGAAATGCAGATCCTCTCCTGCAGGCTATGGGCTTTCCTAACATTGTCTACTTTCTAATCAGAGTGTTTGGAATTTGTCTACCTGAGCACCAAGCTTACATCCAATTCAAAAATCAAGCCCGCATCAGAATCACATTCTGTGTTCCATTCAGAAATGTCTCTATGATATGCAGCAATCATTAAAATTAGTACTATCAATACAAGATAGGTACTCGTAAATCTAATAGGAAATTCAAAAGAAATGGTTTTACCCAGAGAGTGGTTAGAATGCAGATCTTCCTAAACAAGTACTTGAAGACAGAAAAAAAAGGGCAAGCTGAAAAGGTCAGATAAAGAGGGTTGGGAGGACACTTATGTTTAGCATAAACACTGGTGTGGATCAGTTGGGCTGAAGAGTAGAAAGTATTAACTGCCAACACAAACAATTCCTCCACCTGACTTCCCAAAAATAACAGGAATCCCAGACAATCCAATTAGGCCGTACAGCAACAGAGTCCCGAGTAAGAAACCGAACATTCCATCCAAGTCTCAATACTTTCATCTTCATACTTTGTGTCTAGGTCAAGTCTCAACAGGCTGTTCAAGTTATTTTCACCTGAGTACTTTAACTTTTCCTTTAACTCCCCGCACTGCCTACAAACCAAAGGGGTGGCTATGAGCACCTGCATGGATCCTTGCTATGCCTGCCTCTTCTGCAGTTACACCAGCACCATCCTTCACCTCTTTCTCTGCTACATTGATGACTGTATCGGTACTGTCTTGTGCTCACATGAGGAGCTCGAACAGTTCATTCACTTCACCCACACCTTTCACTCCGACTATCTCCAATACCTCCATCCTCTACCTGGACCTCTCTGCCTCCATCTCCGGCAACCAACTCAGCACAAACATCTATTTCAAACCCACTGACTCCCATAGCCACCTGACTACACCACCTTTCACCCACCCTCTTGCAAAAATGCGATCCCATACTCCCAATCCCTCTGCCTCTGCTGCATCTGCTCCCAGGGTGAAGTGTTCCACTCCCAGACATCCCAAATGTCCTCCTACTTCAAGGATCATAACTTTACCTCTCCCGTGATTCATAATGCCCTCAACTGCATCTCCTGCATTTCCAACACTTCTGCCCTCAAATCAGCTTTCCCCAACAACAAGGATAGAGTTCCTCTGGCCCTCACAAACCACCCCACCAATCTCTGAATCGAACGCATCATCCTCTGCCACTTTCGCCACTTGCATTCAGACCCTACCAAAGAGATATTCCCCTCCCCACCCCTATCTGCTTTCCGTAGGGACTGCTCACCTGTGACTCCTTTGTCTGCTCCACACTCCCCACCAACCCCACCACACCTGGCACCATTCCACAGAAACTGCTACACCTGCCCCTACACCTCCCCTCTCACCTCTGTCCAAGGTTCCAAACAATCATTCCATATCCAACAGGGATTCACCTGTACGTCTTCCAACCTGCTCTACTGCATTTGTTGCTCCCGATGGGATCTCCTCTACATCGCAGAGACCAAGCACATACACGGT